CCCCCCCCCGACAGCTGTAAAAGTTTATACTGCATCACGTATATAATATATACACACGCGCGTTGTAAGTGCGAAGTCGTCATATTTTTCCCAGCGGCAAATTTCCCGCTATACGCTTTATTTATGTATATGTACGATTCTCAGAAGAGATGGCCACGACACACGTAGACACATATTTATATTATGGATGGATCTCCCCGAGGAGATTGCACGAGACAGAGTCGTTTTGGATAAAAGCTGCGCGTGCAGCGGAAATGGGACTGAAACAAACGTTGTACCTATTATACGTGCGTATAGGTATAGTTACACACGTGTCGCGTGATTCGGAGGAGCGAAAACGAGGGATTGCGTGCAATTCATTCGCGTTTCGCGTCAAAGTGAGAGGTGATAAGCAACGCGGGTTGACCTGTACGAGTTACGGAACAAACCAAAGGAACGAGGTCCAAGCGATTGTAGTTACCGATCTCTGAACAAAAAAAATCTCTAGCATCTCATCGTCAAAGAATGAGACAAACACGTATAATATACCTACCGGTCGAGGGTGCAAGGGATACAAGCGCGATAAGCTGCCGATCCACGCGCGAATTCCGCTCGTTTTTCCAAAGAGAAGAGCAAAAAGAGCGCGCGCGTATCAGGGAACGAGTGCGTTTTCGATAAGCGCCAACCAAAGAGAGGGATCGGTTGTTGTGTATATATATACACACGGAAAAGAAAGGGACAGGAAGTTCGGCGCGTTTTTTATCTGTCGATATACATATGTGTGTGTGTGTGTTACGCATATATGCTTATTGTAGTTGGACGCAGTGTGCCATTTTTTCATACGTACCACGAGCACCGCAATACGAGTGCATGAGCACATTTATGGCTAATGTATACGCATCAAAGCGTCATGTGTTGCCGATATATTACACTGGGACGAGTGTACTTTTAGATCTTGGGGTCGAAAATCGTGCATGTAAACGATATCTTGGCCATCGTTTATGTAAGTTATACATATATAGGTATGTAGTCAAGGGAGATCTTGTCTGGACATTTTCGCGAGACACGAAAAAACGAACGCCTCCGATTCCTGTCTCGCGCCTGTATGTATATACTTACGTATAATTATCACTGAGAGGAAAAAAGATGCTTCATCCGTATTCATGAAAGCGGAGCGTTGAGAGGAAAATAATATGGTACGTGTGTGCGCTCGAGGCCATCTGATGGGGTTGTTTCGCGTTATCGTGTGCACGATCGTACCCGACATTGAGGAAAAGTAATTTGAAAACAGCTTTTTACGAAACTTCGTGATATCAACGTTTTTTTTTTTTGAATCTGCGCGTCGATAAATCTCTGTACTTACAGGTTGTGACAACATTAGTAGATATACAGAGATTCATGGATCATTCATTGGCAGCAGTTATGTAGCTAAACACAAATGGCTCAATAAAAAAACAGAAGCACCTCCGAAATCTCAAATTCTAAATTCTCAAAATCATATGTAATTTCCGATGTTTCTTCGCGTTATACTTATACGTAAAGAACGCCCCCTTTTCTCATCTCCGTGCAAAATTCATAATTATATATACCTACATACGTGTGTGCAAACTGCAATATGGCTACGGTTTATTTACATTATTGTTGTTATTTCAGGACGTGAATATTCATCGTTATATTCTCGTGCACAACATATTATTTATAATATAAAAAATGCGCAATTAACATATTATACGCGTGTATGTATCGCGAAGAACCTGTACGTAAAATCTCTCCCGATAATAACACGTTGTACACGTGCCCCCTCGGCAGCAACGAGGGAAAACGGATCTGATGTAGGTATATCCATCAGGTAAGTAAAGCCTCGAAAATACATATTTTATATAACCGCTTCACCTTTGTTGTATGTATACACACAGTGTGGAGTGCATTATTTTAATAAACGACGCGCCAAACTGAAAATAAGCCCCTCACTTGGCTCGTATTACCAAAAAACAAGTAAAAAAAAGGGGGGGGGGGGCACATATCCGCTCCTTACTTGTGGGAGATATGATCTTCGGAGCGCAGAGTCGCTCGCGCCGTAAAAGGCTCGCTCACTTTTATATACTACATTTTACCTTTTTAATAAACGTGCTGAGGTATACGTACCTTGGATCGGCCGCATGATTGATTCGAGATTAAATCTCTCGTTTAGCTCTCTCTGCTCCTCCTCCGCGCGACTTGGTGAATTTTACGCGCACTCGTCGTGGGTTAAAACCGGAATCTCCCCGTCCCGTGGGACAATGTTACGAGATGTCGTTGTTTATGAAGATCAAGATTGGTCGAATGCAAATGTATGTTCGTTAATAAATGGTTACTAGTTCCGAAAAAAAAAGGTTAGTAAGTAATAACAAAATGCTACCGGCTAGAGAAAAATTTAGAAACTATTTGTGTACTATACTTACACACTACCTACCTATAAATACGCAAAAATTTTAAGTATAAGACACTACAGGATATTAAGTTTCATTTAATTAAATTAATAATTTGGATTTCAGCCGATAGGTGGCGTATTTGTCCAAGCTCTTCGTGTATCGGTGTATGGTATGACGTCCCTACTTTACCAACGCGAGCATATATATTACATATACCGATCGACCAAAACCACACCAAAAACTGTAGTTCTGCTTCGGCTGGAGACTAAATATTGAGTTGTGACTTGTTTACTAAAGTTGTGTAGTGATGATTTTCATTTGAGAAAGTTTTGTATTTATATTTTCAATAGCAATTTAACGATGGAGATAAATCATGAAGCTCTAAACACTGTCTTCAAAGCCGAAAAAAAATACAAATGTCCATTTGAAGGCTGTCGTTTGGAGTTTTTGAAGCCATCCTCACTAAAGTGGCACACTAATGTTCATCTTGAAGAGGTAAGTGTAAACAGTTGAGTGTGTTATGTTCCTCTGAATTTTGTTCTTACCGTTTTATTTTTAGAAACCATTTCAATGCAACTTTGAAGGTTGCAATAAGTCATACTCAAATCCTTCTCACTTGAAACGTCACATTGAACAAACCCATGGTGGTAAGAAGCAGAGAGCATTGTACGTTTAGGCAATGATTAGAATTAGACAAGTGTTTGTGACTATCACTTAATAGGAATTTTTTTGTTGCAGATGTGAATTTTGCCAGAAATATTTTAGTAACTCGAATAATTTAAAACGTCACATTAAGAGGAGCCACAGTAATGATTCAAAATTTTGCACTCAATGCAATAAAAGATTCAAACTTGAGATTACGTATGAAGAGCACATGGTGTTATTTCACCAATCGCAAGGAAATAAACTGCAACTGTATGAATGTGAGCAGTGTGGCACAACATTATCCTCTTACAGGAATTTCCGAAGACATAAAAAGAATCATCTCAGCAAAACGATTCTGTGTGATTTTATAAGTTGTTCAGCTATATTCAACTCGATTCATTCCTTAAAAGAACACCAAAAGTCAGTTCATTCTACAAGTAAGTCATAGTATTTTGTTTAAGGCTATTTCTTAACTAATTTTAACACATTCTTACTTTGAAATGTTATAAAAATTTGTAAATGATATAAAACTTTGCAGCTTACATTTGTGCAGAGTGTAACAAGGAATTTAATTCTAAAGGCATTATTAGGAATCATATTCTTTCTAAACATTTGGGTGTTAAGATCACTGCATCTAGCGAATTCACTTGTCCATATGCAGAATGCAGTAGAGTATATGCATTTAAAAAAAATTTAAGGCAACACATTCGTATCTACCATAAAGGTATAAGATTTAAATGTGACGTGTGTGATAATGAGTTATCAAGCAAACAAAAACTTCAGCAACACAAAATAAAAAAACATACAAGGAAAAAAATTCAAAAATGAACGTCTAAAATATAAATAAGTGTTTCATTTTGTGTTATTAAAGTACAGTATTATAAGGACTAATCAAATTTTGGATTAACTCAATAACAATAGTCCATTATGAATTTCGTAATAAAATTTTTTACTCACTTTAGAAGAGTACACCCATACATAGTTAATATAAAAGAAATGTAAAAACCAATATGAAAATATAGATTTTATAATTTTTTTATTTAAGATTTAAAAGTAAAAGATTATTACAAATTACTTGTCTGCTTTTTTCGTTTTAGCAGGAGCTTCTTGTGCTTTCATAAGCTTCCTAACAATCTTCTGTTCTTCAATAAGAAAAGCTCTAACAATTCTGAAAAATTACAATTTTTCCATTAATGCATTATCTCAAAAAGTAACGTTTAAAGTTGTCAACTCTACTTGAAGTGTATATAATGATCCATTAAACTTAAGAGCATAACGTCATACTTTAAAATGTAACTGGGTAATTAATAGTCAAGTTTGTTCAATGCTACATTTATATAGTTCTTTTTCTTCAATGAGTATGGTTTATGAAATAAATGGTACAAAAAATTTTTGAAGCAAATAGCGAGTGAATTAACTTTCTTACCTTTCTTTGACACACTTGTGGCACAACACTCCACCATACACTCGCTTTACAGTCTTCTTTCTTCTGCACATGCGAGAGCGCTCCATAGGCCTTGCAGGCTGGATACCTCTGAGTTTATCTTTGCATTGACCACATCTGGGGATCTTCTTGGGCTTTTTCAAATACTGGTAAACTAGCTTACCTCCAGGAGTACGAACTCTGTAAAATTAATGTTGATTATTCAAGCTGCTAGGAATCAGACTGTACACATGATTAGTTTATTTTGTAATTTAAACTTTTGTGCAGATTACTTTGACCCTACTTTCAATCATTAAAAGAAATTTAATCTTCGCTAATGCAAACAGATCACCAGTCTCTCAACTCCTAAACAACCACTAAACATGACTTTCCCATACCCTAGGTTTTAATACAATTTTCTGAACTTTGAAACGTAGAGTGATTACTATACACTACACTTTCACAAAAATAATAGTGACATTTGCAGTGTTGTCAAAAGATAGCAGATACATCAATGTTCTGGTGCAGATTTTAAATTCCAATCAACAGGAAAGTGACAACGTCAATTACCCATAGTTTTATGTTACTTGAATCTATTGAATGATCATTTCTACAACGATAACTTGTCTCATCAACACGTGTTGTGTGAGCGATGAAAAGCGTTTATCAAAACATAACCCCGTATTCTCTAACTACGGTAACAACCAACAATCTACCCTTGACCAACTAAAGTCAACTTTGGACGAACGAATAGTAGCCACCCGCACCACTCATGAACAAATAAAAAACACTCGACACCCCAAGTTCTTTCACAACAAAAGTCTGTAGATGGTGATTAAAAAAAAAAAAAAAGTTACGTACACTCGTCTTCTGTTGCTGTTTGTGTTGTACGACAAGCGTCGTCGGTAGGTTAGACGCTGGACCATCTTGTTGCTGAAAAAGAAAAAACCTCGGTTACTCCGAGTTCAAAGAGAATAAGAGCGTCCGCGACACCCTCGCCTTTTCGATAAAACGGCCACTACGTTATTTAGGGCCAGGGTGCGCGGATGATGATGCGAAAAGCGGATTTTAATCGAAAAAAATTTGTCTACGCACGAACCTTTGGCCGACCGACAACGAGGAAGAGAAAGATATCCGAGATCCGAACGCCGACCGACTGACGAAATGAGCGCTAGTGCGCAACTCGGGCGCGCACTCTGCTTGTGTTTTGACTGTTTTGAGAGGCAGGCTTGAGTTTCATCATTTTCATTGACTTTTTATTTTTTTTTACAACTTATCCATGTTGCGGAAGATGATCGAGAAAAAAAATTACCCTTAGTGAAGAGTAAAATCGATTTTATTTTTGATAAAAATGTATGCGCATTGATTTCTTGTATATTATTTTCTGTCCTTTTTTGCTGTCATTCGGGAGAGCAGACGACCATAATTTCGGAGCAAAATCGAAAGTATAAACGAAATTATTTAATTCCCGATCATGTCGGCAGGAGCCTGTATAAATACAATTTCAAGGAGATCGTTCTTCGCAAAATTTTTTAAAAATACATTAGAGGTACAATTGCATGGTTTTTGCTTGATTTCTTGAATGAATGTCCAGGATTTTATATGAAATTTTTTGTGTACAGAAAGCTCGCCAACGAAATGTAGAACAATTCGGAAAATACAGCATTGTTGAACCAGGGATTGTATCTCCAATTCTAAAAGTTCCACCGTACATTCCGAAACCAGAGTACTCTGAAACTGGTGAGCCCGCCGAACCACCCAAGGAGCCAGAAATCAAAGACAAAAATCAAATAGAATGCATGATACACAGCTGTCTTCTTGCTAAAAAAGTGTTGAAGACGATACGACCTGATGTCAAGGTGAATTTAATCAATTTCATGTGATAATGGTCTGTCTGATACGTGATAATCTCTACAGTTAAATTGTAGGCCAATGTAACTACTGACTATTTAGACAAGAAAATTCATGAGTTGATAGTAAACAATGGTGCCTACCCAAGTCCCTTAAATTATAAAGGATTTCCAAAATCGATTTGCACAAGTATTAACAATGTGGCTTGTCACGGCATACCAGATGATCGAGCTCTGGTGGATGGGGATATTTTGAACATCGATGTCACGGTGAATAAACGAAATTATTTAAATTTTAGTTGATCATCCAGTTGATACTAATTTATTTTTCATCAACTAAAGGTGTATCATAATGGCTTTCACGGAGATTGTTCTGAAATGTTTGAAGTTGGAGAAGTTGATGATGAAGGAAAGAGATTGATTCAAGTAGCAGAAGAGTGTCTTATGACAGCAATTGGAATTTGTAAACCCAATGAAAAATTTTGTAGCATAGGTAATTATTATTTATATTATTATTTTTTGCATAAGTAATAAAATCGTTCAATTGCATGATTTTGTAGGTAATATCATTGAAGAAACTGCTTACAAACATAATTACAATGTACTGCCAGCTTTTGGAGGTCATGGTATTGGTGCATATTTCCATGGCCCTCCTGACATCTACCATTTTGGTAAATATTTCAATGCCAAATTATTCTTTGCGTAAATTATTAAATATCTTTTTTTTTTCGTCGTAATAGAAAACGAATTTGAAGGAGTAATGAAACCAGGAATGACCTTTACAATAGAACCCATATTGACCCAAGGTGGGCATGACGTTTGTATTCTAGATGATGGTTGGACTGCTGTGACTGTGGATAGCGCACGAACAGCGCAAATAGAACATACAATATTAATAACTGATCATGGCGCTGATATATTAACAAGGCCGAATTAAATAAACTGTAAATAATAATGCTAATACAAAATTATTAATTATGATAAAGACGACAACAATAATGGTAATAACGATCCTCTGAATAATGATACTTATGCCGATAATAAAATAATAATGATGATGATGATAACGGTGATGTAAATGATGATGATGATAAAGATGTATCTATGATAATAATGNCTTCATTTGTGAAAAACAATAAAGTGAAATATGCATATCTTAGTTGTAAAAAATAATTTGGAGTTTTTTTAAATTGAAGTTACTTCAAATCTATGTTATTCGGTTTGCTCATATTCAGCCACCTCCCAATTGTGCCCGATAGTAATTGGTCCTTTAATTTCAACTCCCTTCTCTTTTGTGATTACTGCAATGTGGTACTGAAAAATGATAAACATGATTAACATGATTTCCACCAAGTACCATTAATCATGAGTCATTGTTGCATTTCGATATAATTACCTTGGGAAAAGATCTTGCATCTCGGTAGAAAAGAACTTGCATGACTTTGTAGATAAGATCTGTAGCTTCTTCTTCGCTCATCTGATTATTGGCTTCATAAGCTTTGGTTAAAATTGGAGAAGCCAAGTAGGCTCCATAACCTGTTGCAATTACAGAATCCATAAATGCAGTTCCCAATTTGTCGACTGTTCCTAAGAATCTAAGAATCAGGAAAAATTGATTAATCACTTTGTGATGACTGCAAAGTAAGTAGGTATCCTTAAAGTAATATAATTACGTCTCGTTGTTTTCTATGCCACCAATTATAAAGTTGTTCCATAATGGATCAAAGTTGGACCTTCTGTTGTACAGGACTCTTGTCAACCAACAGTGAAGAGCCTTTGGCTTGAGTGTAAAACCATCATCAAGGCACTGTTCATCCAGACTACATCAATCAAATAAACAAGCTGTCATAAATGTGAACATATTAATATTGCTCTAAAAAAATAATTTGAGTAAACTTACACCTTCTGTTCGATGATGCTTTTGAGGTACTGATAGTCAGCATAATCACCACCAGCACCAACAATAATGTTATTATTAACTTTTAGCACACGCTGGCAATTTCGGAATTTGGCAAGTGAGCCATAAGATCCCAAGGAATCAGCAGCTATCAAAACACCATCTTTGAAGCGCAAACCAAGAACCGACGTGCCCGTAACTATCGGAGTACTGAAACATTGTCAAATTATCATCGATTTCAAGGTTAGGTCAAAAGAAACATCTTTCAGCTCTTGTAATTTAAAAGTTGCGTACAATAATCGCACATCCAAGGTAAGACATTAATTTTTTTGTTACATTACAAGTTTCAACAAATATTAACAGCTAACTTCATCAAAAAACCAGAAAAAGGAGCACACCAGCAGCGCTAAGGTGATGAGAAAAGCTTGGAAAAAATTAAACTTACTGTGTTCTTTTGATAGCCAGGTTGTCGGGGCTGGTCGTGGACGTGCCTGGGAAGTTATAAAGGGCACCTGGAGTCGGGCCATTGCCCCAAAATGGTGCGGAACTGAAATAATCGGCTTGATTGGGGAACTGCATACTTGTGTTGTAGTTTTCAAATGTCATCCTCAGGGATGGACGATTCTTCTACTCAAACATCGATTATTTTTCAAGAGTCGATCGTTCTCTCTTTCGATACCTTTTAAAACTCGATTATTAGGGTTCAAGATTTAAAAATTTAATAATTTTCAAGTCAATTTAAAAATTATATCTGACGAGCAATTTGGTTGAAAATAAAAAATATGACCGCCAAAAAATGTAATTTTAATAAAACAATTTGATGCTCAATATAGCAAAATTTGTATCAAGTCGTACATTTGGATAATTGAGTGTTAATGAAACGAGATAAATAAAAAAAAGGTACGTGAGCGAAAGATATAGTACCTAAGTACTTATAGATGAAAAATAAAAAATTTTGAAGCAAACTTCAAGAATTGGTCGTAAGGCTAATAGTTGGAACAATCATATTCATATTTATTTTGTAAATAATTTCGTTGGCAATTAGGCACTTTGACGACAAATGATAGTCATACCTGTCATACTCAAGTATAAACCATTGCATCCGTACGCATTCATAGAGATATAAGAATTCTTATATCTCTATAAATGTACGCATCACATCCCCGCAAGTGTCAGCATTACTTATCATCGTTGCATTTTCAGATTTCAGTACCTACTACCTACCTATTAGATCTACTTTAGTACACCTATACGTAGATGTATGCACAGTTCGCCTGCAGTGCCTGCACTATGCCATCAGCAGCCGTGCAGCAGCCGCCACTCTATATCCCAGTTTACCACCACCACTCTCTTGAAGAAGTTGTCGACGTTGTCGTGGCTCATTCATCTGATATATAAACACACTACCTCATACGTGTAGCTCATCTCATCATCATCATCATCATCATCATTAGGTGGTAATATACATTACCCGTGGGAGTACGTATGACGACAACGTTGCTGTCCTGGCAGCTGTTGCCAGGAGCCGGGCACTTATTGTGCTGAGAAAGCTAGATTTGTGTACAGAACGATGGTGTGAGGGATAGACAAGAAGAATTTAGCACGCCCGAGGAGAGGAAAAAAAGCCAGCAAGGATGGCGAGGTCCAACTGTCCAGGTGGTGGCCTTTTCGTCGTTGAGGGCGAGGTCAGCCTCCTCATGACAGCCATGAGACGCGGTGTTCGCTGGTCCTCGCATTCCCATCAGGTAACGGGGTGAATTTTGTTTAGGAATCGTGTGATTCAAGTGACAGGAGGGTGTCATATGTTGGGGTTGTTTTTGTCTACCCGGTGCAATGTTGACAATATGCGTTAGCTTTAAAAATAGCAAGACTTGAGAGTGAACGCGCACAGTTTTTTGGCGTGATTTTGCACCATTAGAGACGAAATGCGCTGGTTAACGAATAATAGTGACTCTGGTATTTGCTTTGAAAATCGGCGCTCGTTGTGCAAATCCTTGTTTTTGGGTTTTTAAATCTGTCACGTATTTGACATAAAAGAAATAAACTGTTGTGGGGCATTTCTTTTTCTATAATTGGATGATGACATACAAGTCTAGTACATGCTTCTCGTTGTACATGTATTTCTGTTTTTTATCGATGTAGAAATTTATTTGTATTAAAAATAAAAAAATAAATTTTTTTTTTCATCATACTTGTACCCTATTAAAACTATTATTAAATAGATAAATGTTTTTGGATTTTGCAGGATGAAGATCAAGATGCGCTCATGAAAGGGCTGTCAACTCTTAAGGAAACTTTGAACGACGTCAAGCACTTGTCTGAATTAGAACCAGGAGTCTTCATGGCACCGTTTTTAGAAATCATTAGGTCCGAAGAAATAACGGGACCAGTCACTTGTCTTGCACTGTCTGCTGTAAATAAAATTATATCTTATGGTCTTCTCGGTAATCCAACTTTTCCTATAATTTCAATACTCTGTTCGTAATTTTTTTTTGTTACCAACTCATACTGAATTTTCAGATTCCGAGCATCCTGCCATTGCACCATGTGTGGAAGCCATAGCTGATGCCGTTACCCGTACGCGATTTGTTGGGACAGATTCAACCGCCGATGGGGTGGCACTCATGAAGATTCTTCAGGTTTTGAGGTCTCTTGTCTTATCACCTCCTGGCGATAATCTGTCTAATGAGAGCATGTGCGAAGTTCTGCTCAGTTGTTTTAGGATATGTTTGGAAACACGACTCAGTGGTAAGATTCTGATGGCTATTTGAAAAGTTTAGTAATTTCAAAAGTAGCATCAGTGATATGCATATTTGATTTGCTTTTCAGAGTTATTGAGGAGGACAGCAGAGCACTGCCTGAGAGATATTGTGCAGCATCTTTTTGTTAGGCTGCCTCAGTTTGTAGATGACATGAGAGGCCAACTGAGCATGAAAGTAAGGCTACTAAATTTTATAAAGTAAATAACCATATTGTACTTACCTTATAATATTACTGAATTGTTTATTTGTTTCAGAAAATGAGGACAAATAGTTTGGAAAATACAAAAAATAAAACAAAGAAAAGCAAAATTAGTAATGTAAAACCAAAGTCAAAATCCAATCTCGATGATATTGATGATCCAGAGACTCCACTAATGAGTCCTGTAGCAAGGGTGAAGTCCAATCATTTAGCAACCACTCCGACAACACCTGTTGGTAATATTGTTGACATGCAAGGTTGTCTGAATCAAGCTAATTCTGAAAAAGTTGAAGATGATAAGAAAGATAATACTACTGGTGAATCAAAGAGTGACTCGAGTAAAGATAACAATAAAGATGATGTAACTTCAGAAACTAATCAAAGTGAAGTTTCAAAAGAATCTGAAAATAGTGAAGCACCCAAGAATGAGACTGAGGCTAAAGGTAGCAATTTAGAAAACAAAGAACCAATTAGTTCCAGTGTAAATGACAAGCAAGTTGAGGGTAAAGCATGTTCACCAGTAATTGATTCATCCAAGCAAATCGTCTCAGGAAATTCAGGTAAAATTTAATATTTCTTTCTTATATGCATCCAAGGTTTTCACATTATATTAAATTGATATTTATTTTGTAGACAATCAAACAAGTGCTGATTTCGTGCGATCGCCTATAGGCAGTGTTGAAGACTTGTCGGTTGATGACGCAAATAACGGCGCTAAAGGATTGACCGCCAAAGTTGATGGTGAGTCAGTCGAAGAATACGTAAATTCGCAAGGTGTTCGTTTCATGACGGTGCAACAACACGCACCATATGGCTCGCCTTGTATACGAGAACTGTTCAGATTCTTGGTGTCACTTTGCAGTCCTCTGGATAAACAGAACACCGAAATCATGATGCATTTAGGCTTGAGCCTTTTGCAAGTAACCTTGGAAGTAGCAGCTGATGCTTTGTCGAATTTTCCATCTTTGCTTGCTCTCGCTAAAGATGACTTGTCTAGAAGTTTGATTTTGGTATGGTATATGAATTATTATGCATACTTTATGTGGTCCAAAAGTTGAAATCAATTTTTTTTTTTTTTTTTTTTTAGTTATTAGGTACAGATAGGTTGTCTATTTTGGCTGCCAACATGCAAGTATCGTTTTTACTCTTTGAATCGCAAAGAGAACACTTGAAATTTCAATTCGAGCAATTTATTGTTAAATTAATGGAATTAGCAAATACAGAATCAAATAAAATATTTTACGAGCAACGAGAGCTCGCGCTCGGTAAGTATGTCACAGGCCATTAGTATGCAAATGTATTTGTAGTTTTCCGTTACCACCTTTCATTTGTTGCTATGTAGAAACTTTAGTTCGATTGTGGAAAATACCTGGTTTACCTACAGAGTTGTTTATTAATTATGATTGTGGCTTGTATTCTGTAAACTTGTATGAGGAGTTGATGAAAATGCTATCAAAGGTACTGTTCAATGTAAGAATTTTTCTACAGCTTGCGCACGCTCAAAACAGGATTATCATTGGTAATAATCGTTGCTTGTTATGTTGTCTTTTAGAATGCATCAACTATGACGGGAAGTATGTATAGTATGCAATTCATTTCGTTGGATGCGATTTTTACGTTGATTGCCAATATGGAGGCAAGATTTAAAGGCCACACAAACATGTTGAAACCTTCAAGACACAGTGCCCCGCTGAATCTCCCATCTCGAGAAGAATTATTGGAAACTAAAACTAAAAAAAGGGTATACATGGAAAGTATTTTTATTAGTAAGATCATGTTTTGATTAATATTTCCATAATTTAGTGGTTGGCTGTTGGTTCCGAGAAATTCAATGAAAATCCAAGAAAGGGTATAGCCAAGCTAGCTGAGCATGGACTACTCGGTGATACTCCTGGAAACCCAAACCCGGATGAGATCGTTAAATTTTTACGAGAAAATCCAACGTTGGATAAAAAAGCTATTGGAGAGTACATCAGTAAAAAAGAAAACACAAAGATCCTGAATTCTTTCGTTAATAGTTTTGATTTCGAAAACACGCGTATCGACGTCGCTGTTCGCCAATACGTCGAAACGTTTCGATTACCGGGCGAAGCGCCGCTCATTTCCTTGTTGCTCGAAACATTTGCCGAACACTGGCATGTAAGTTCCAAATTGGATTGCAAAAATACTTGATTCTACAACTCATACGATTTTTCAGGAAAGCAACAACAGACCATTTGCTTCTGCTGAAGCCGCTTATATATTAGCTTACGCTATAATAATACTGAACACTGACCAGCACAATCACAATGCTAAAAGGCTAATCAATCCAATGACAGCGGAAGATTTCAAGAAAAACGTGAAAAACGTCAATGGTGGTGCCAATTTCGATCAAGACATGCTGGACGAGGTGTACACGGCAATAAAGTAAGTACCTGACTGACTACATTTTTTTTACAAAAAACCTTTTTCGATCGGTCGATAAAAGAATATCGTTTGGTTGTTTACTTGAAGAAACGAAGAAATAGTCATGCCAGCCGAACAAACCGGACTCATAAAAGAAAACTACTTGTGGAAGTGTCTCTTGCGTCGAAGTGCGAGTCCAGAAAGCGTGTACGTGAAGGTCGGTGATGCAGGCGTATTCATAGACAAAGAATTAGCTGAGCGTGCCTGGGCGCCAATAATCAGTGCGCTCTGCAAAGCTTACGACAAAGCCCCGGATCGCACGCTACAGCGCAAAGTCGCCCAATCATTTCTTAGGTACAGCATTTTTTTTTTTTTTTTTTTTTAATTGCAAAAAGCTCATTAAACTCGCATTTTTAATGACATCAACAGCTGTGCTGCAATAAGTGCTCACTACGGCATGACCAGCGATCTAGACACGCTTATCGTGAGCCTGTGTAAATTCACGGGTCTAGCTGCTGCCGGCGGCCAGCCTGATCAGATTGTCCTGAAGCTCGGTGGCAGCGGAACCTGCCAGCTGGCAACGCGCACCCTTTTTAAAATCTGTCACCTACACGGGAACGCGTTGCGCGCCTCCTGGAAGAACATGGTCGACTGTTTGCAGATGCTCCTCAAAGCTAAACTGCTGCCAAAGGACATGACCGAGGGTGAAGATTTTCTCGACCCGTCGGGCAAAGTCAACATCGCCAGAGATCCACCGCAGCCCAAACAGCCGCCCGTCGAGCAGAGTATACTCTCGAGTTTGTACTCGTACATCACCTCGGATACATCGCGAAGTCCGCACCCGGCTGAGGCCGTGGCTAAGAAGAGAGCTCTCGAATGCGTCGCGCACTGTTACCTCAAACAAATCATCGAGGAAAGCAACTTCTTGGAGGTAACTATAAGATTTTTACACGTGTATTCGGAATCCAATAGCGTTAAGCTTTTCCTGAGGAACGATAATTTTTCGGTCCCCAGGTCGAGTCGTTACAATCGTTGGTCACAGCGCTGATCTCGGCCAACTCGTCGAACGACGAAGGCACTTCAGTTTTCTTGCTGGAACTGCTGCTCGAGACAACAATTCAAAATTGCGATCGAGTCAGCTGCATCTGGCCAGCGGTACACACGCATCTGGAAAGTCTGTTGACAATGTCAGCCCGCGATGGCCAGCCGTTCTTACTGGAGCGCGTAACGATCGGCATGCTGAGGCTCGCGATCCGTCTGCTGCGCAGCGAAGAGCTCGCCTGCACTGTACTACCGCCTCTGATGCCTCTCACCCAGTTACCCTCGGCTGCGGTACCACCGCTCGCTCGACAGATCTCGTTTGGATTGTTTGAGCTGTTGAAGATAGGGGCGGCAAACATTCACAGTACCGAAGACTGGAAAGTGGTTTTCAATCTTCTGGAGTGTTCCGGAGCTGGTGCTCTTCAACCAAAGCCAGTGTCGAATGCCGTGATGGATGAGACGATGAGCGGTAGCCGTTCACCTGTGAGTTCTTTTTTTTTGTTTTTTTTTTTTAATCCTAATATTTTTGTATCACCATAATAATTAAACAAATGGGAAATGTTAATTTTGTAACGCAGATCACTGTATTGGATCAAAGGTCGCTAAGTCCAGTGCCAGAATGGGTTCTAGTCTCACCAACGGGCACCGAGGCTCCGTTACCGGTAGCCGCGGACACGATAGTCTTGGACCGTGATTTACAAACGCACGACCCGGCCTCGCTGATCAAGTGTTGCGAAAGTCTGACTTTTCTTGTTCGCGACGTTGCTCACGTCACGCCATTCAACTTCGAACTCTGCGTCCGTTGCGTGCGAACCTTTGCGGAGGCCGTTCTCTGTCCGGCTGGCAAGCGTAGCCGCATTCCCATCGGTGCTGAAGAACCACCGGCTTATCAACAAATGCCCATTCAACTGTTGGACCTCATGCACACGCTCCACACCAAAACCGCCCAGGTAAACGTTGCACAACAGTTTAAATAATTATCATCATCTTGTTTCCATGAGCAATTTAAGCTGATTATTTTTGAATAACGTAGGTGTTTCGTTGGTGGGCGGAAGAAAGTAGTGGTGACGCGACGGGTGTCGATGGCAAGAACGCTATATCGACAGCATCGTTGTGGTCTCAAGCCTGGCGTCCGCTGCTGCAGGGCATAGCGCGACTCTGCTGCGACTCGAGGCGTGCAGTACGTGCAGCCGCGATCACCTCGCTTCAGAGCACACTACTAGCTCATGATCTGAGCCAGTTGTCGGCTATCGAGTGGTCACAGTGTCTCGAGCAGGTGCTATTTCCACTGTTGGCTCAACTGCTCGGCCCAATAGCTTCGAAAGATCCATTAGCTGTCGAGGAGACGAGAGTTCGGGCCGCCATGCTACTGTCTAAGGTAAATATTCAAAAACCCAACTATCGTGGTAGACTTTTGGATTCAATGATTAACATTTTTTTTTGCAGGTCTTCCTTCATCACCTGAATCCGCTACTCACGTTACCGGGCTTTCTACCGATCTGGTTAACAGTATTAGATCTTTTGCGATCCTACATGCATGCCGACAAAAGCGAGATGCTGTACGAAGCCATTCCCGAGTCCCTGAAGAATATGCTTCTGGTCATGGCGTCGGCCGGTGTATTACAGTGCGAGTCTTACCTGTGGACACCAACTTGGCGAGCAATCGATGCATTCCTTCCTAATTTGAAGGCAGAACTCTTTCCCGAGCCTGTGCCTTCGCCTCCACCCTCGTCACCGCCACAGTCGCAGTCCCCCACGAACCAAATGCCACCTCAGTCTCCCACGATAGCCCCACAATCCCAATCTCCAACGAATCAAGTAACAATGCAACATCCTAACGTAATAAGCCTCGTAGACCAGCAGGAACTCACCTGTCCTATTCCCATTCCTGCTTCGCTCGAAGATCAACACCAGCAAATCCAGCAGCAACAACAACAACAACTCTACATGCAACACGTCCGACAGCAGTACCTACAGCAGCAAAGTAGCAGTCCAATGTCCCAGTCGCCGCTGTCAGAGGCGACTGTCGGTGTACTCTCGACTTCTCCAGGGTCACAAGAGACACCGCAGTCCATCAGCCCGCCGGAGCAGTCCTTCTCGCCGATCGCAATAGGCTTGACGCAAGTGGAGCAGCCCACTTCGCCGTTCAAAATAGTTCGCTCATCGCTAGTTCTCGAGGCCAAGGAGCCTCAGCAAGTCATCACCTTTGTCAGTCAGCCGCCGCCAAGCGTCGCGAGTCCCGTTGCCGTTCAGCCTACGACGCAGCTCTACAGACCCGTTCCTCAAAAGCAACAGCAGCAGCAGACTTACCACCTCGAGGACTCGAGTGCTAAAGAGCAACAGCAGCATCAGCCTGACTACAGAGAGCAGACGATTAGTATTAAGGAAACGGGATCGCCCGCCCATCTTCAGTACACACACTTGCCGCAGATGCAAGTTTTTCACAGCGAACTTTACGGAGAATCTGGCGGTAACTCTGCGGACTGCGCGAATAAGGCTGAAGTATGTGGGCAATTTAATGATAAATTTTCAAACTTTTCAAACCGGTCATTGAAATAACAAACAAACACTTGACTGTATGTTGATGTTTTTGTTGCAGATGTCGACATCGGACACCACAATGATATTCAACTCGGCGGCGTATTTCAGTGAAGATTCGGCGGCAGATCGGCTGTTTGTCGTGACCAACCCTTGACCACGTACTGTGCATTCTTAGTGTATATTGTATTATACGGAATTTTTTCATAGTGCATAAAGTCGTAATGCAAGAATGGATTCAATGAACGTAAATCCTGAGTATATGGGTAAGGAAAGACACGAGGAAAATAACAAAAAATGATTACGTAGCCCGTTAGAATCTTTGGCTTGTATATTTGGCCCGATGTTATATGCATGTTATACGTGATAATTTATAAGATGCATATATACACACACACACAATGTAATAACTGTAATAATAACATCACTTGTTTTTTTTTTAAACAAAAACTTACGTTATAATTTCAGGATGATACATAAAAATTTTTTAGAAAAACGTAGAGATAATCGTTGAGGTACATTGAAAAGACTAATGAGTAAAACAAAGACAAGAGCTAAAACAACGTATCTATGTACACAGAGTTATCGTTAATTAAAAAAATTTATACACATCGGAAGATTTTTCTTGCGTCTTAAACGCGTCGTTTTTTAACATATACTTACCGTAGAGCAAAAAAAAAAAAGACATCTCTCTTTGAACGCGGTAAGGCACGAAGGGTCTACTTTATCGTCATACATACACACATAAACGTGTGTATGTGCGTAAGGTACGCTTTTCTTAAAACATATACAAGCGCGGCGCTATTAATAAAGTGCCTGGAACGGTCCAAGCTGTCTTCACAAGATTCCTGACCTTCGTGAGCTAAACGACTTCTTCAACGATACCCGTGAGAGCCAGACGTACGCGCGTTTATACAAAAATACAAAAAAAAAAAAAAAAAAAATGAGAGCGATGCATAAGGCATCTGACTGCCTGGCTTGTATATGTCGGTACATGAAATCTTAATTCTTCTTCCAAAGGAGCGTCTTGAAATGTTTTACTTCTTTTTCCCTTGATTATTAAATCTTCTATATGTACATACATTGTTTGTATTTAGTAATTTTAACATCTTGGATAGTTTGTCCGTTGCACGTGATTGAGCTCTAATGAGAGCTCCTGTAGATAAGAATTAAGATTCAGGTCCAGTTAGTGGTCCGGATTATTTTAATGTACAAGGCGAGTCGTTTCTCTTTCACTGTTCGCGTCTGCAGTAATGGCCAAGTTTCTTGCATTTCTCGCAAAGATGCTGCGGATGTACTTTGCTCTGGTCCGACACATCTAGGCCATCCGGTTTTTCCAGGGGCCGCTGAGGGAACAAAACAAAAAAACAAAATTGGCCAAAGTGAGTGTTGTGTATTATTTTTGTAATATATTTATTATTCTTTTATCTGGTTATTGTTATTATTTTCTTTTTTTTTTTTTTTTTT